ACACACACACACACACACACACACACACACACACACACACACACACCAGATAAACAAACAAACAACTTTAAAAATGTTCACTAACGACAAACCTTAAATAAATGTTCTTCTCCACTGCACACTGCTCGTCACTTCACCCTCCGCTATCTCCGCCTTTGCATCTCTCCGTGCCTCTCAGGTCTAAAAGGCTCTCTACAAAGGCTGCAGTTGGAGTATGTAGATGTCGTTTTTGCCAACCGCCCTGACAGCAACACTCCCATGGAGGGTGAGTCATATTTCAGGGGTTGTTTTGTGTTCCTGGTTATAGTGACCTCGATGTCCATGTGTTCTTCAGTGTAGCTTAAGTTAGGCAGCCAGTCCTGTATAATTAATGATCAAGAAGTTTGGCATGCATATTGGCATGCATATTAGCAGTGCATGTGTCCCTCGTTAGTTATCTGAAATGAATTGTGTACTAATGCCTTCCACAGGTAAAGCCCTTTAACTGTGGGGTTTCTCTCAATGCCGTATTAATTAGTGCTCACAGCTAATCAATAAGGAAGTTGTATGTCAATTAGTCAGTTACTTTTGCTTTTTTTTCCTCAGAATTCCAGCTCTCCTTCAGTGGGGCTTTTACAATATTATGTATTTAAGCTGCGTAGAAATATCATACATACATCGATCATACATCATACATTCCCCTTATTGAAGACTGATATGATACTGATAATGCACATAAATGACAAACTAATGAGACTTTATGTTTTTAACTTTGATGTGATAGTTTGCATATGATTTCTATATTTAGGTCTAAATTGTGATATTGTGGAAGCTGTTGTTTTTCATAATTTAGACTAGCAGTGTAGTATATGATGCATTCAGACAAAGACCTTGATTTTATTCTTCATAGATTCCTACTGTGCTGCAAACACAGCTTACTTTTCGCCACCATCTGCACTCACTGTTCATTTCCTATTTAATTCCTTCAACTATTAGATCTATCGCTCTTCCTTCCTTCCTTGAATTCGATTTACTCTCCATCTTCTTCTCTCCCTTCTTATATTGGACGGAAATTGAGGCAACTAGTATTTAAATGTGAGCGCAGTGTGCACAATCACAGCGTGTTGCAGGAACTGGGTGGAGATGAAGGCAGGAGTAACAAGAGACAGAATTGTTTCCTTTGCTTAGTAATGTGTTATTTCCTTCGACAGGATGGTATTAAGTAAGACATCTGTGTTTGTTAATTATCATTTACAAAACTGAATGGAAACTTAGAAGTCTTTCTCGGTCTTCTTGATTATACTTTTTTGCAGATCTACTTTTTCTTTGTGTTTCTAAGCTTTTTCTTTTCTTTTCGTTGTTTTCTTCGAGCTTCGTATCTCTCATATCCTGTCGTTTTGCCGAGAGCCAGTTATGCAGAGTGAAATACAAGAGTCCTGCCACAGTCGAGGATTGCAGTATAATTGGAGTGAGCGCAGGGCGGTGATGAATAACCCTAAAGACAGTCCTAATCTCAGTTTTTGTTGGCCCTGACTGCTGCTCGCACAGTCTGCAGTGTTGGAGCTAATTGCGTCATTAAAAATGCGGCAGATGGAGTGTGATCAGAGGGGCTTTAGTATGTGTGCTTGTTAGTTTGTCCCCCGAGATGTTAGGGACGGGTGATGATCCGTCAGCAGGTAAGAGAGACTCGAGGAGGCGGGTGGCCTCTGGGGACTTTTTGAATACTTCATCAGTTTGTTAAAGTTTGTGTGCTTTCAAGGCCAACATTTATCTCAGATGAGTCTCTCTTGTTGTCTTGCATTTTCTGATGGCAAACCCATTCCTAAATGCCTACTTTCTCATTGTTTCTGTTTCATTCATCCTCTCTGTTTGACCGTTTTCTGGGTTTCATCCATCTCTCTGTCTCTCCTGAGGCATGGCTGTTGTTGATTCAGAAAATATTACCTGCCTCTGGGAAAGTGAAATCTATTGTTCTTTATCCCTATCTTTAGTAGAAAATAAAGCAAGCAAACAAACAAAACACATTTTCTAAATCACTTTCTCTTTTAGTGCCAGCCAGCTGTGTTTTGTGCTTTCTATAAGTGGATTACACATCAGGTGTGTTATCACCTCATGGATATAATAAACACTGAAGAAAGAAATGATCTGAAGGATTTGGATTCTTATTTTGAATATCTTGAGGTTTCTTTTAGATGAAGTGTTTGACCCGTAGTGACATTTTTCACAGTTGCACGATTGACAAAGTGACTGCAGTTTGACCTATAATGCTCTATTCTCACTCATTAAGCTTCAATAAGTCTATTGCATTTTAAAATGAACTCTACTGAGTGAATAATGACTTTAATTTATACATTGAATACATTGAATCCTGTTAACTGCATTAAGAGAAGAAGGAAACAGGGTGAGAAATATTCTGTTTTTACTGCGAGCCTAGAAGACTCAACCGTTTTGTTGAATTCATTTTGAATGCGCTTTGATCCGGCAGGGACGGATGTGTTTTGTTTGTGCCGAATTGAATTCAGGATAAATGTTGCTGTCTGTTACTAGCACTGCACAGGGTGGTTTCAATAAATAGATTGTTTACTGTTGATCCAACTGACTGATGCGATGTGGGCATGTGTATATCTCTGCAGAGATTGTTCGGGCCATGACTTATGTGATCAACCAAGGAATGGCGATGTACTGGGGGACGTCTCGGTGGACGGCCATGGAGATCATGGTAAGACTTTGTCTTTGTTTGTCTTTTGGAGTAAAAAATAAATTAAAACAAACTTTTTCTATCAGTAATAAAAGTAGGTTTTGAACCTTTAGTGAAGCAACGTTTTTAAACCACACATAAGGTGCAGAATAGATGACTTCAATGTAAATAAACTGTTATTTAGTTGCTGTACTGCAGTTTTAAACTTTTCTCAGCTCGTCAGAATTAAGGAATGAAATGTTTTTTTTGTGATTTAATTTCAGGGGAAAGTTTCATGTTGCTTTGGCAGATTAGATTTCATATCCCACTGAATGGAATAACATTTACTGGGATTCAAACCTTTTATTTGTTGATTCAATGATCCATAGAATGAAGTCTCAAGAAGCCATATTTACTCTAGTTATGTTCAGTACCCTAACATCACGAGAACCCATTCTTATCCATGACATTGCTTATGCATAGTCATGGATTTGAAAAGGTGATGAAAGGAGAAATGGAAGGAAAATTGCACCGTGTGTTTGAGTTTAAGTTTGTTTCTATGAGGTGTTCCCACAGAGGCAGAGTGGTTTCCTCCATCTTTGTTTGCGCTTTCCGTCAGAAACAATCCGCCTCCCGTTTCAACTCTCGCTGCAGTAATGAATATATACAAGGGGAGTATGAAGCCACAGCAGAGGGTTATGTCACTCTCTGGCCTCTTTCTCACCCTCTCCCTCCCCCTCTGAGCACAGCGCACACTCTGTCTCTGTGTTCTCAGTGAAAAGGAGCAGATATCTTTGTAGAACAAAAGCGCAGATGAAAGCCGTGTAATTTATAGCATCAATAAAGAAAGGGGGGGCGGGGGTAAACACATCTTCTCGGTGTACGACAAGGCAGGTGTAAAGTACACACACATACGCAGGCTCGAGGGGCATGTCATGGGGTTGCTGCACAGAAGGGCAACATGTAATTTGTAAGTTGAGTGATGGCACCAACGTTATCGTTGCTAAATAGATTCCCCCCCTCGTTTACTGCTCTCTCATCCTGACATTTTTCACAGCAGGAGCCTGACAAAATGAAAGAGTGGGGAGCGTTTAAAGAAGCAGCAAACCCAGCGTGTGTGTGTGTGCGTGTGTGTTTTCTCTGGCATGTGTTGAAGGACACATGGAAATCCAAATGAGAAGCTATAGAGGGAAATTTGAATACGATGCCTCGGAGAGTTGTGATATGGAGTATTGATTGGGTGACTTACTGTGAGCCCTTCATTTGAATTTGTCCCACGCTCCCACGAGCTGATGAACAGCCTCTCATCTCTTCCACCAAGGAAGCCCATCGCTATCTGTGGCTACCAAATGTCTGCTCTCTTCTACCCTCATCGCTTTTATTCTCCCCAAAAAGAAAACAAATGTATTAGTGCGGCATTACATTAAACGCCACATAGAAGGATGATGCTGCAGTGAGTCATGACAAACTAATTCTTTCCCCTTTTCCGTTTGCCCTCCTTTTTTTTTTGTATCTCTAGGAGGCCTATTCAGTGGCAAGACAGTTTAATCTCATCCCTCCAGTGTGTGAGCAGGCAGAGTATCATCTCTTCCAGAGGGAGAAAGTAGAAGTGCAACTGCCTGAACTTTACCACAAGATAGGCAAGTATTCTTTGTGTTGTGTGCTATTGTGGTGAATTAGCCAACCGATGGCCCAAGAGAAGTTAGCACAAACGTCCTGTGGTCAGAACATTCTTCCACTCAGTTTCTCATAGATGAGTTAATTTAATGAAACCGATAAATAATCTCTGTACTTATCTGTTGCTCATCCCTTCTGAGTTTTAATTATCTTTCCTGGCACTGTTCTCACACATTTCTTTTTCACACTTCTTCCTTCAACACATCTTACTAAAACTCCTGATTAACTCCTTATGGTCCCCATGGTGACAGGAGTTGGAGCGATGACGTGGTCACCGTTGGCGTGCGGCATCATCACAGGGAAATATGAAAATGGCATTCCTGAATCTTCCAGGGCTTCCATGAAGGTATGCAAAACTTAACTTCACCATGATTATTTTCTATAACGCATAAAATTGATCTGCTCTGTTCAAAAAGTAGAAGCACCGTGTGTATTGAAGAGAAAGCTTCCATCCTTAACAGATTTTAAATTTTCTCACTATTACTTTAATTAGTGTCAACGTCAGGGAGGGCGATGGAAAATTATGATTGAATGTTTTCTGCAGAAGCTGCTAAAGCTCTAGCTTGTCTGTCCATGTGTCTTATTTTTAAGTTTTAATGTATGCAGACTTCACAGATGATCAGTGCTACCAAAAATTGTTCCAAACTAGACAGCTTTGTATAACATGGGGGTCAGGACTTCAAGATATATTGATATATTAGGCACAAGATCACTGTGACAATCTCCTTCTTCTAAGTCTTTTAAGTCTTATGTTCTTAAAACAAGTGACCGAATATTATGTAAACTTACACTGGATATGATTCTGAATCTTGTTTTGATTGTTTTGTCATTTATTGTCAATCTTCTTAACTGCATTATACAGAGAAAGTCTATTTGATCTTTCTCTCCTTCATGTGTCTGCGTCTAATCTATCTTTCACATAACTTCTCTTTCCCTTCCTCATCCGCTCACGCAATCTCTTTCCTCTCCTCCCTCCCACCAGTCCTATCAATGGTTGAAGGAGAAAATAGTAAGTGAGGATGGAAGGAAGCAGCAGGCCAAGCTGAAAGAGCTCAACCACATTGCAGAGAAGCTGGGCTGCACTCTGCCTCAGCTGGCTGTTGGTAAGACTTCATATTTTACAGCAAATACTGTGGAAGCAACCGGAAGCAGGGCTTTGACAACACAACTGCTCAGGGCTTTGAGACAGGAACGTTTTAAATGTGAGACATCACCAAATCCTTTACACAATGTCTGTGTTTGATTTCCCCTGCAGCTTATAGCGACAAACAGACTTCAATATCTATTTGTGCTTTCAGCTCCGATTAAATATCTCAGCTGCCTGGAAGGTAGAAGTAAATGTAATTAAACGTTTAATAAATCTGTGGTGTGCTTTGGGAAAAAAGGCCGGCTGACATTTAAGGTTTGCAAAATGGTAATGAATGGACTTAAACAAACACAAACCTTTGATTTGTAGGTAAATAAGATAAATTGTTGTATAGATCCGGGAAGAGCAAATAAAGGAAACGACTAAAAGCTCAGGTTTATTTGTGTAATAATCAATAGTGCGCCATCAAGTGGGCTCTGTGGGAACATCAACCTCTCTTTCTTCCTCCAGCGTGGTGTCTTAGAAATGAGGGAGTGAGCTCAGTTCTTCTGGGAACATCCAGCCCTGAGCAGCTCACTGAGAACCTCGGGGCCATACAGGTGGGAACATGCAGGAACACACACAGCTGTTGTCGAGATCCAAATACTTTTCCCCCTTTTTTTGCCCCACTGTATATTTCACTTCCTTCCTGCCAGGCATGTTCAATTTATCGTTCTCTCTTTTTGCCCAGGTCCTTCCTAAGATGACATCTCATGTGGTGTCTGAAGTCGACCACATCTTGGGCAACAGGCCGTACAGTAAGAAGGACTACCGCTCTTAGACCGGGCGGGTGGACTCAGCCTTCCTACTCACCTACCTACTTAAGCATACTGCTACCATGGACCCACCGTTCAATGTTCAAGTCCATGGTTCTCTCCTTGGGCCCCACTCAGCTCCAGCCCACTTCAGCCTGGAACAGACAGCCTTGCCCTGCACAGATCGGGTTCATCTCAGGTCCAGTCCAGCTCAGCCAAGAGATGCTTAACCAACTCAGCTTTTTGCAGCCTCCAAACGCAGCTTCAACTTCAACGCAAATCAAAACTTTGTCCCCCCCCCCCCCCAACCAAGGTGTTTTCTTTCAGCGGCGGTCTATTTAACTGTCTATGCAGAGCTTAGTCTTACCCGTACCACATCTCGGTTCAGCTCCATCCAGGGGTCTCATTAAAACATTTAGAAGTCAGATGGCAAGGCTTGCAGGAACAGCTCTTAATAGTTTGTGATACACATGCACACATATTTACACATTCACAGTTGGGATTTGAGCAGGACAGTATGAAAAGCACTGCAGGAATATTTCAAGTAAAAGTGCCTTGCTCCAGGGCACCTTGATAGTAGTTGTTGAGGGAGACGGTAATGCTACTTATTCATACCTTCCTACAATCCTCCCAGTGACTCAGACCCTCAGGTCTCAATCCTCCTCTCTAATGCCCAGACTTCCACCCACAAGCTATTTCATTTGAGCACAAAATTCATACTGAGCACATATTTTATTCATGACAATTGCTGTACCACAAGCTGAACACATCAATACAAGCACCTTAGACTTGTGCGTTAAAGGTAGCTTACAACACTGTTGCATGAACCCCCCCAGTCAGTCAGTGCTTTCATTTCATTGCTATGCAGTGCAGCAAACAAAATTAACATATGAGCTCAATCATCTCACCTCTTGTGTCAGAGGCACTCACTCATAACGTGGGGGGAAATGTCTTTTTTATTTAATGATATGTGAGGTTAAGCAGTGACCATGCTCATACTTCTTGAAAAGAGCTTCATGAACGAGGCCTCAGCAAACCAGTTCCCTGTTAGCTTGAATTAATCTTAAACTACCTACCAAATGTACTCAGTCCCTTATTTAGCATAACACAGAATAGTATTCAGTAGATATTATAGGCTGCAAATCCTGAGTATATTATCCAACAGGTGCATGTTTCTCCTGCTCTAGTGTGCCTCTCGTTACTGTTCTACAAAGCACAGAATGAAACAGAAAGGAGCTTGATCAAAAATACTGCAAGCTTGTCAACTGTTTGTGATCGGCTGTGAAGCAAAGGATTGTGGAACACCAGTGGGATCGGGACTCTGTTAGGGGGGGGGGGGGGGGGGAGAGGGAAGCAAGTCGCCCCCGTGTGGTCTCTTGAAGGAACTGCTGTTCGGCTTCATGCGATTATAGAAAAGAGAAATATTGCTTTGCAAAAGAAGTGGACTACGTTTCTCTCGGTTTGCATTCATGTTTGTTGCCTGTGAACTGAACCTGCGATGCTGATTGGCTCAATGAACCTGGCAGAAAATGACTGATAGCAAATCTATGTTATGAAAGGATGACTGACCTCCTGGCTGGTCATGATTATAATATCTGCAAAAATTGCTTGTTAACGACACAAAGAGGCATATAGGCAAGGTTTTTTGGAATGTGGCAAAGATTACAGTATTTATTCTAGAGTAGTTAATATATATAGAAATTTATTTTGACATTTTGAGATATTGTTTGGAGATCTATGGGGATGTTACGTGTACATAAAATGTTACGGCATACTTTGTAACATAAGCAAAACCAGGAAGAAGCCTCTCGTGCATATGAGGACTTCACAGTACTGTATGGCAAATATATAGATATGATGTAAATAGAGTTATTTTGTTGCTCCTCTGCAGTGTTTGAGTCACTCTTCGTCCATCCGCGTCCAGCCTGACTTTACACTGTCACGGGATTCATTTCTGCCTCCTGAAAGATATTTCACAGAAGTATTTATAAGGACTAAAGGTTAAATGTTCTTTGTTTTTGCATCATGACGTCACATTATGAAATCTGTATTCATAATGACATTTAAAGAAGGAGCTTCTGTTCGAACTTAAGCATCGACCTTGAATAACTATCTCTGACCAGGTGGCTCAGCTCTCACAGCTCGTGTCGCCTTCGTGCGTCATCATTCTGGTTATTTATTTTTCATCTGGAAAACAAGCCATCGCAGCGATCAGCAGAAATGTTGGCCTGGTTTCAGTCGGGTCACTGTCTTGACATCGGTGTACATTTGTTGACTTGTAGCTCAAACACCATCGAAGGAAATTTCAGCCTGTATAGATATTTTCCAGAAATGCTGTTACACATACTGAAACAAAGCATCAGTGAGCAGTGTTTGGCTCCCGCTTTACTTTAAGAGGTCTGGCCTCGGATAATGAATCGACTTTCTTGTGACTATTTGCATTGACTTGTTGTTGTATAAAAATAAGTGTGACCTGAACTCCTCTTGGTCATCATTGTAAAGCAAACGGCCGGCAATTTACTAACAGAAAACATCCAGAAAAGCATTTGTATTGCTCTTTTCCCATAAAAGACTTGACTCTCCTCCTCAAAATATGGGCAAAAAGTGCTTTATATACTAAAATAGTAATCGGTAAACTGTCTGTAACTCCTGGTGGCAAAATGTGTGGTGTGTACTAATGTGTACTTTCAGTTTGGTTGCAAGTCAACAAGTTGCTTCTCAGTTTGAATCAGTGACCATGTTGGACTGCGGCCTGCCGGTGTGTGTGGAGACTTCTCCACCCGACAGAGTGCCTTGACTTGAGTCCCACTACAGGAAAACAAAATCAGGGATGTCTTTCATTACGAGTTGTTCAATAAAAGTGGGAATAGAACAATAGGTATGCAGATTCTTGTATTATTAGATTGCCTAATCGACACTATATATTAAGTATTACCTCATTTGGACAAACGCTTTTGAAAACAAAGCAGTAAGACCCTCATGGCACCGTTTATGTAGAGGTAACTTTTTTGGATAATGACTTAAAGGTATAGTATGCATAATTTAAAAAAGGATATATAGAGAGATACAAATGTAATCCCTTTCAATCATCACTTCAAACCAACTGGAAGTGTGTGCCTGTGCCTCTGTCCTCTGCCTGTATTTTCTCGTCTTCTTCTTTTGCTGTGTTTCGGATGTTTCTGTGTAACCCCCAGCCAATAAGCAGGTACAGCGCGTTCGAATTCCCAGGTCGTCAAATAACACCGCTGTCATGCTCATGCCGAGTCACCTTTTAGGGTCTAATGATACAAAGCGGCAGTAAATGGCGACCAACTGGTTTCTTACATTGCTGTGTTTTTACACACAACCACAGATGCTACAGCGACAAGATGCAGCGTGCGGCAGCTGTGCTTTAGAACGCAACCGCCTTGAAACAATTAGAAGAAAAAACTTTTTATTTCTGATTCACTGCTTTGTTCTCGTCGCTCCCTCTCTTCATTCACTCTCTTGCTCGCTCGACCAGCGCTGAGCTCTCTCTCCCTTGTTGCACCAGGAAGGGAGAGGCCAGCTTTAGGATGCTGTGCAAACAGCCACAGACAATGCTGCATAGTATACCTTTAAAATAAAGAAAACGACTACTAGAATTGTCATCCTCGTCCACTTAGTCCTTCCCTACAGCTTGTTACGGTGTACGGCTTTGTTTCATCTTGGCCTTCGTTTCGGCAAAATAATGTTATGGGAACAGTTAAGTCAAAGAGAGGTGAAAGTGATCGTCTTTCGTATCGTCTCCTTCAACCAGCCTTTTCCTTCATGATGCATCAGTTCGTCCTCAGAAAGAGTCAACAGAGGGAAACGAGCCATACAATATTCCTTTGGGTACTAATGTAATGTAATGCTTTGATAATGGAGGGAAACTGGCCTGGTTTGCAAGAATAGACGTTTTCACCAACATGTTCACATTGGTTCACAAAGCTAGAAATAATTAAGCTGTGGCTGAACTCTGATTCACATAACATGAAGAGTCCTGCAATGCGACACGTCATCTTCAACACAAGATTTCCTGTTCTGGTATGAAGACAACCTAGATTCATTCTCATAAAAATGTCAAGTAATCTACTCTGCAGATTTTCTACAACATGTAAACTTATAGATGGAAAAGACTTGACATCGAGTTTGTTTCTTTGTTTTGTTAAAGTGTTCAATCATCAGCGTATCTTTTTGTTTTCTCTGTAAATAGTCTATATGAAAGTGTGATTCTAATTAAATGCATTGCCAATGGAAACATCACCTTCTCACTTTTGTCCAACACTATTTCAAAAGGTTACTAAACATAATATATAATAAATAACAGTGCTCTCAATCATACTGAATGGCACACACAATTAACAGAGAGGAAAAGTATACCTGGTTGCTTTATTTGTTACAAAAAAACAGAAGAGACATTTGATCATGAATTTCATGAAGTTCAAATGTGATATTTCGGTCTTTCAAACCCCGTTCCTAACTTAAGTGAAAAACAAGTGTATACCCATCTTTAACCCACTTCCTCCCCTCCTAACCAAACCCACCCCTCCTGATTTGATTCCCCTTTTCTTCCTCCTTTACTTGGAGCCTGTGGACAGCAGAGCGATGAGTCCTGAGGAGGCACTGATGGACAGAATGTAGTTGCTGGAAAAAAAGTAGGTTAAGGCAAAAACTTCAGAGCGTTTAATGACAACTCGGGAAGATCAGAGTTGAAAGGAATTAGTGTGGAAATGTGCAACATCTGCCTTCACCCGCGTGAAGTGTACGACAACAAAAGAACTGCACTAATAACATTTTAAGACAAACGTTTAACGCTTCCAATCCCAAACGTTAATATGCCAACGGCTTGTACATTGTGATTAAAAGGATACACAGAGGGGTTGAAGTTCCTGAGCAAGAAGAAGGAGGCGATGATGACGAGCACCAGGAAGAGAGTGTTGTTGTAGAAGATGGAGAAGGTGGTGGCCTCGTAGTCGGCGACCTCATTCTTCTTCCACAGGATCCTAAACAGGCAGAAAAATAACTTTCATGGTCATGTAAAAAAATACAGTACGTGTCTCAGGGGCACTGCAGACTCACACTGAATCAACAGGCTTTCCATTAACAACGTGGAGAGACATTTGAAACGTTAACCCACGTTTAAGAAGACCGTCTCTTCGGCCATGTGCTCCTTTTTTTGCCACAAGACGTCAGCACTACATTTATGCTTTATACACATTTATGTCTTGACATACTACACCAAAACACACTTAATTTGCCAAAGCTAATTGTGAAACCACACAAGCGCAAACGTCCAGCTCAACACACACTGTATCGAGGTTTGGCTTCACGATATGATGCATGTTTCACCTCTCGTCTTTCTCCTTGCGGGACATCTTACGGTTGTCTGCCTCAGACAACTTCCTGGTTACCTCCTTGGAGACGGCATCCTCACGTTTCTGGGCAACTCTGGAGGATGAGGGGAGAACGGTCACAAATATTTAGTATCAGGGGAAGATTTTTGTTGAGCCAGATTCATAAAAACAAGTACTTTGGCGCACAGCAGTTCCCCTCTAGTTGGTCGTCTATGATACTTTGTTTACCAAATGTATTAACAGTGTGACATACAAAATATCCCCCTATTCTGTGTTTATTAATATACAAGTCATCTGTACCAGCAATGTGACGGTAACATGAATGCACCTCGATCCAACTAATGTACACGCGCAGGAAAGAGAAACTTCAGACGTGACAGATGCAGAGTAGTGCGTGTCTGCTTCTTACTTGTGTTTGAGGACAAACTTGACGTTCTTGTAGGCAAAGGCCACCAGGTAGGTGCTGACCAGAGTCATCACAGCATACAGAACTGCAGACTGGACAAGGTCCATGTGCCAAATCCTCCAAAACAGCCCTAGAAAGATGGAGTCAATCAATAATGGCCACATATGCAGCATGTTGATTCAATACATGTCATAATCCAGGTGTGCTAAACCTAAAGTAACCACACTGACAGGGTTAGCAGTCACAGTCATTATTATTGATAATCTTGTATTATTATGCTCTTCTGCATTTAAACGTTTATGTGCTAGTTAAGTTAAGTTTTTCCTAAATTACTCAAGTTTAATTAAGCAGTGGTAGCTATGCTAGTTAGCATCAGCTAGCTGCTCCAGCCTATCTCTGGTACTCACAGATGGGGATGGCAGAGACGATGAGTGCGTTTCCGTAAAAGAGAGCGGTGGACTTCGCTGAGAGGTTTCTGCTGAAGTCCTGGAGGAGAAGATCTTCCTCTGACTGCTGCTTGCTGCTGCCTTTGGGAGCCATGTCTTCGGATTGAGCGGTGTGTCTGCTACTCAGCTCGGGACACAAGAGGACTGACACGTCGGAGTACGAGGAAAAGAGGGACGCGTCAGCATAAACCCGGAAATACACTGGCTTTCTTCTTCTTCGTCTTTATTTCTGGCACTGCCGCGTATTGCTGCCCTCCACAGGAAGACAAGGGCACTGCACCAGTAAGGCTTCATCACTGGACGGTCAGTTCACAAAATATAACCCGAATCAGAATCAGAATCAGAATCAGATCCGTTTATTGCCAATGTATGTAACATACAAGGAATTTGTCATGGCATGTGGTGCATAACATTAGACAATCAACAACAATCAACAGTGCAAGGAATAGAAACATATTAAAATGTACAATAGAATTTAAAAGAATATAAAATAAAGTGCACAACAAACAGATAACAGGACTGTAAACAAGTGTAATGTAAAAGTGACAAGTGTATTTAAATATGAAGGGATGTGCAGGGGAGTAGTAGGGAGGAAAGTAAAATTGTCCTGGCGATGACAGAGTCAGTGGGGGACCCGGGCTCTGTTAATCAGCCCGACTGCGGATGGGAAGAAGCTGTTTGTGTGGCGTGAGGTCTTGGTCCTGATGGACCGCAGCCTCCTGCCAGATGGAAGGGGCACGAACAGTTTTTGTCCAGGGTGAGAGGGGTCGGCTACAATCCTTCTTGCTCGCTTCAGGGTTCTTGAAGCGAACAAGTCCTGGAGGGAGGGCAGATTGCAGCTGATCACCCTCTCGGCAGAGCGGATGATGCGCTGCAGCCTGCCCTTGTCCTTGGCTGTGGCTGCAGCATACCAGACCGTGATGGAGGAGCAGAGGATGGACTCAATGATGGCTCTGTAGAAGTGCACCATCATTGACTTTGGCAGGTTGAATTTCTTCAGCTGCCTCAGGAAGTACATCCTCTGCTGAGCCTTCTTGGTGATGGAGCTGATGTTCAGCTCCCACTTGAGGTCCTGGGTTATGATGGAGCCCAGGAAGCAGAAGGACTCCACAGCATCAACGGAGGAGTCACACAGGGTGATAGGGGCTGGTGGGGCTGCATTTTTCCTGAAATCCACAACCATCTCCACTGTCTTTAGAGCGTTGAGCTCTAGGTTGTTCAGACCGCACCAGGTCACCAGATGGTCAGTCTCCCACCTGTAGGCGGACTCATCCCCACCAGAGATGAGTCCAATGAGGGTGGTGTCATCCGCGAACTTCAGGAGCTTGACGGACTGGTGAGTGGAGGTGCAGCTGTTGGTGTACAGGGAGAAGAGAAGAGGGGAAAGAACGCAGCCTTGGGGGGATCCGGTGCTGATGGTCCGAGAGGCTGAGATGTGTTTTCCTAGCTTCACGTGCTGCTTCCTGTCAGACAGGAAGTCTGTGATCCACTTGCAGGTGGAGTCGGGCACGTGCAGCTGGGAGAGCTTGTCATGCAGCAAAGATGGGATGATGGTGTTGAAAGCAGAGCTGAAGTCCACAAACAGGATCCTGGCGTAGGTTCCTGGGGAGTCCAGATGCTGGAGGATGAAGTGAAGGGCCATGTTGACTGTGTCATCTACAGACCTGTTGGCTCTGTAGGCAAACTGCAGGGGGTCCAGGAGTGGGTCGGTGAGGGTTTTTAGGTGGGACAGGACAAGGCGTTCAAAAGACTTCATGACCACAGAGGTCAGGGCGACGGGCCTGTAGTCATTGAGTCCTGTGATCCTTGGTTTTTTTTTTTTAGGGACAGGGATGATGGTGGAGGCCTTGAAGCAGGCTGGTACGTGGCATGTCTCCAGGGAGGTGTTAAAGATGTCTGTGAACACCGGAGACAGCTGATCAGCACAATGATTCAGGGTGGAGGGGGAGACCAAGTCTGGGCCGGCTGCTTTGCGGGGGTTCTGTTTTTTAAAAAGCCTGTTGACATCACTCTCCAGAATAGAGAGAGTCGTCACTGGGGAGGGGGGGACACTGGGATGGGTGGTACAGAGGCATGGGCCCCTGCTGGGCTGGGGGGGGGGGGGGGGGGGGGGGG